CCGTTGAACTTTAATTTGCACGTGCGTGGCCCCGATCAGGTCAACAGCAACAGTTTCATTTACGGCGAGCGCGGCATCTTGCTGATTGCGGGCATTGGTGTGTAAACAATGAAATTAATTTACCACGTTTTGTGATTAAATTTGTTTGCTATTCATTTCATTTTATTTAGATCACATGCAATTGGATAACTTTTGCTTGAATCAGAGCTTGCTCATCGCGTTATTGATATTCTGGCTAATATTCCAAATCGCGCTAATGTTCAGCTGTTGCTATGTCATACAGAAGTACAAACGTTTGGCGATGATGGACGAGGAACACCGCAAGATCAAAGAGAGTCTAGACTACCTTGAAAGTCGGCGCGTGCACTGGGCGGATCAAGGCGGTTACACACTTTGATTGCAAATAAACTTAAATTAACGTATTTTGTATTTGCTTGTAAATAAACCTTGATTGTAATATTTAAGTCCAAGACATAGATTTTCTTTCTGTAATGGCGAACAAAATAGTTACAATATTATATCATAAAAAGTTACCGGACGACACGTAGTTATACCGTGAACACGGTAACACACAGAAAGAAACGACGGAAGACAATTCTACGTTAACGGAATTGATTCGGATTTCATTCGGCCAAGAGCTGTACTTTCGGAGAAGTAACATCGTTTGGACCGGTAAGTTTTATAATATAGTCCTATAAAATATATTTATATGGTATATGAAGGATCAACATGACCAACTGAGCCGATGTAACCGTAACCATGCGTTGTGGAAATATACGTGAAATAGTAATTCAGTTATTTTAGATTTCCATCTGAAATTTTGCGCACGTCTTTTTCTCCCCAGAAGCCGTTCACTGGCGAAACCGTCGTTATCGGATCACTATAGTATATAACTGCCATATCTTCAGGAAATTTGGCATGGATTATTATTATGAAGTTGTTTTGGTCGATCGACGTTTTGTTCAATGTCGTCGACGTAATTGAGGAAAGACCACTTGATGTTCCTAGGAGACAGTTCCACTCCAAGCACCTAACTGGAGAGGAGTTCATTATTCTCGTTAACTGGGAGCATAAGCGTCTCACTATGTAGGTGTTAAATTGCAGATATCAGGAGGTATCCTGTCGTTGGCTGGAGTGCAGTGTGTCGACAAGTCTGAAACTTCTTCATCTGCCTTCCACAGCATTCAGGCAACCATATGGTGCGGCGTAGCCGGCCGATTGGCTTGTAAGTTGCCAACAACGTTTCTTTGTCCTTTACCCATATGCTGCCGGTTAGCTACTTGAGGATTTTGTCCCGCCTCTGTACCTTGGCAATAATCGAGATCGTATGAGGAGTGAATTAACATAGACTATCAAAAGTTACACCTAAAATCTTATTATTGTTATTGACAGTGTAGAAACTTGACCCCATTGACTGCAATGTTAAGATCAAGTTTGTAAATATGGTCGCTGATAATTTGGTGGAGGAGAGTGTGAAGTCCCGTGCAGATAAGAAGCGAAAAAGATCGGAGAGACGTCAAATCATTATTAAGAGCATTATTATTCAAGGCAACCGATGTTAACATTTCTTGTTGCTTTTTTCTATTATTTTAATGATTGCATATTTCCTGCAACACAAAAATTGTTCGAGCCCAGCAATTTTAGGCTATGTGATTATTTTATTATTTGAATATTTTGTATCAACAGCCAATAGGAAACTAAAATCCAAACGTAAGAGCGCCATACTTAATATTATAAAATTCCATGTATTCAAGCTTAAAGGGCTAGCCTCTACAAAAAAAAGTGTGTATGTATTAGTAAATATAGTATTATATACTTAGTATACCATATGTATATAGCAACCGTTCAGCGCCTGCTTATATAACTCTTTTTAGGTTTTTTTTTTTTTTGTAATTCAAGGAGTACTAATTTTAATTTAAATTAATTAATACTTTGTGTAAGTATATATTACGACTGTGTATGTTTGTACTCCGAAAAATCTCAAACTACTTAATTATTTTGGATACACAACTGTTTATAAGCTATGCTTTTAAGCGAGCGGCGCATCGGTATCCAAGTGGTAGCTGCGAACCGGCGAGAACCACAGCGGTGGATACTTTGACTGCGTCAATTCAAACTGTGACGTAGTCTCCACTTTATTACGCGTTTGCACTACGGAATAGTGTACCCATAGTAGACGAGCATATTTGCGCTTTGTCGTATTTGTTATACGAAATTCAATACAATATTTTGTACAATTTGGCTCTTCGTTGAATATAGCCATGCTACCGCGGCGATGACGCGCATATTGATGGTGGTTACTTTGTGATTGTTGTTGTTGTTTCTTTAGCATAATAGTTATAGTGTCACCGTAGAGTCGATAATGGCCGCATAGCACTTCCGGACGCAATTGATTCATATTCTTCAGCTTATTCACACCCTGTGCTGGCTCATCGGCACTGGTCATCATGAGCACACGTCCATCCCCTAAAAATCGTACATAGCGATAATATTCAACCAACTGTACGGGACGATAGTATTGATCCTGTCTCTTATACACATCTAGATGTGTATAAGAGACAGATTCACACCCTGTGCTGGCTCATCGGCACTGGTCATCATGAGCACACGTCCATCCCCTAAAAATCGTACATAGCGATAATATTCAACCAACTGTACGGGACGATAGTATTGATCTTGGAAGCTGTTCTCGCCCATACGCAAATAGGTTGTCTTGCTTATGTAGCAGCCATTAAAGATAACACGTTCGCGCATGATGAACATTTGACGCCACGAAGTGTATACAATGGGGACTGTGTCTGTAATCTCAGTTAGGTGTTCAGCTGACTGACGGCTAACGGGTTCACCCAATGAGCCAAGATTACTACCCCACACTCTGTTAAAAATATGCAGTTACTGTTTGGTTAAAAACAGAGTTATTCATTTTATAGCTTACTTGGCACACGCTAAGCGCCACAGCTCCTCATCGCGCGCACACAAATACAGTCCCTTGCAGACAGTAGCGCATTGCTCCAGCGAATGCATATCCAACTGCGCCGATACAACCCAACGTAAGATGTACAACAATATTTCCGGCGGTAATTCAGAAATATGTGTTTCCGTGCTAATTACACTCGGATCACGGCTGCTCTGTAGTAAACGTCCACCGGCACCTGCCAAGTCCAATTGAAACTTCTCATATAAATCTTCAATGATCTCTTCATTATCTGCTATTTCATCTGCAGTTTCTTTTGCTTGCACAGATTCTAACAAACGAATACCGTCAGCATTATTACCGCTCGAAGCGGCTGTTGACTTTTTCTTCTGTAGTTCATAGAATTTGAATTCAATGTCCGGCACAATTTGCACAGCTTTTCGGTATAGTGGCACAGCATCATAAACCTTGCCTCGCTGTTCCAGCTCCACGGCACTACGGAATAGATTTTCTGCCAGCTTATGCTGATCAATATCGGTGACATTATTGATCAGCTGTTGCTTTTGTTCTAAGGTTCTATTAGATGTTACAGATTCACTCTGACTCTTCAACTCACGTTGCCAATTGTCACGAAATTCTTCCAACTCCACGCGTATGTCGGTAGAAAATGTATGTAATGGCGAATCCATGTCATTCATTTCTGCTGCCGATTGCGATACAGTCGTCGGTTGTCGGCTCACATTATCCTCTTCTCCACCAAGTAATGGTACCGGTTTCGACATGATTATTTCAACACTAATAAGCAAAAAGCACTCATTGAAAATAAATAACAGGTGCATAGTATATTATTTACGTACCTTATCAGTCACGCTAAGAAGAAGAAACAATCGGATTACGCACCGCTGATTAGGTTGTGAAATTATGCGGCTACCAATATATATTTAGATGTCTTTTGCACACTGTTTCGTATTAATGTTTTGCTTAATACTTTTATTTTCGTTAAATATTAAATTATGGGGTTCGAACTGCTCGAACAGAAGTTGCGCTTACAATTTAGGCGTGTTCGGCTAGTTCACGGTCGCTGTATCGTATGATGAAGGGTCGCGAATATTGTTGGCACACTGCGGACACCAGGAGGCGGCGGCACTTCAACTTAAATTGTAAAATTTCGCACGCAGCGGCGGCTACGATAGCTGACACGTTGGAGAACTTGGCGGTGAAAAGATATAGAACCGGCGACACTTTAGACGTAATCACAAAGCAATTAGCCATTATAGGCTTCAGGCAATCAATGTCAAGGTTAAAAGATACACAATACTTCACTTGCAAAAATAGCCGACTTTCTTCAAAGCTAAATTCTTAAATATTTGTCTCAAGCACCAAAATTTTTGTTGTCTTTTTAAGAATGATGCTTTTAGTTTATTAAATGTTTAAATGACGTTTATATATTATATTAAGCAATAGTTTAATATTTAAATAATTTTTATCAGAAGTTGGGTTTTTTCACCTGCGCTTTTCAAATGCGCATTTACAATTTTCACTATTAAGTACGTATAGGTACATGAATGTATGTAACCGGTTTCTAGTGTCCTTGACTCCTTAAGGAAACCCACACTTTACAATTGTTGCACTTGTGTTTTATACGCAGTAAATTGTTCTCCGGTTATGGTTGAAGCCATCGCATAAAATTTCATTACACTTTTCCGGAATGCGATTACATCAAAATGGCTATTTACGGTGCGATCAAAACAAAACAACAAATATATTGACGTCGACAACTTTGCTAACAGCTGACAGCGCTAATTGTTGCGCGAAAAGCCGACAGTGACTACACTTTCGGGGAAATTAAAAAAATTTCTCAACATTTCGTTCAAATTTAAAGTTCTCTTCATTTACATGTCGTTTGTGTCCATAAGCTATATTTTCACTTTAAGTTAAAACTAAATATATAAAATCCTAATGAAGTTTAGATCACAATTCATTTAAACAATCATATTTGTTTTAAATAGAAGCTAAATATAGGAGAATGCCCTATTGGTACGGCTCTCAAAGTGTGAAAATCACGGTAACCCTATTTGTTTCTTTTGTTCCTCTGTTGTGAATTTGTATTTCTACCCGGCGCTCCGAATTCGCATAAAATTGCACTTCGCAATGGCAACCGAGCCAGAACCGTCAACTTCCAAAAAAGTTAGTGAAATACTCCAAGCTTCGATCATTGTAAAATGGGGTGGCAAAGAATTCCCAATTACAGATTTAACCGATCAGGATACTGTGGCTGTGCTGCGCCATGAAATCTTCAAACTCACACAGGTGAAACCGGAGCGGCAAAAATTGATAAATCTCAAGTATAAAGGTAGGTTAAACACCGTCGTGTCCGTTAGACATTATGCATCAAAAATATGACATATAACGGTTTGTAATTATATATGCAGAAAACAAAGTGGCGCCTGATGATACCAAAATTTGTGACTTGGAGTTGAAACCCAACTTCAAACTAATGATGGTAGGCTCGACTGAGGCTGCTATAGAGATTGCATGTCAACTGCCCGATGATATTGCCGAGGTGATAGATGATTTTGATGTAGCCGAAGAAGAGGACTTGGTAGAGAAATCCCCCGTTTACTTGGCGAAAGTACAACGGCGCGTTAGAGAATATAAAATAAATGAGCTCAACCCGCCAAGGGAAGGAAAGCGTTTGCTTGTACTTGATATTGATTACACCTTATTCGATCATCGATCTCCCGCCGAAAATGCCTCGGAACTAATGCGACCATATTTACATGAATTTTTGGAATCTAGTTACGAAAATTATGATATTGTTATATGGTCGGCAACTGGTATGCGTTGGATTGAGGAAAAAATGAAATTGCTCGGTGTAAGCAACAATCCCAATTACAAAATAATGTTCTACTTGGACTCTACTGCCATGATTTCAGTATATACGATTGAACGTGGTGTCTTAGATGTGAAACCGCTCGGTCTTATTTGGGGCCAATATCCGCAATATAGTGCCAAAAATACAATCATGTTCGATGATATACAACGTAACTTTCTAATGAATCCACGTTCAGGTTTACGTGTACGACCCTTCCGCCAGGCACACATAAGTCGGCATACTGACAAAGAACTTGTCAAGCTTTCGAAGTACCTGCGCGATATTGCAAATGATTGCGACGACTTTACCAAACTGAATCATCGCAAATGGCAGCATTACGATCATCGTAAACACCGATAATAAAAGGCAAAACTAAAATTAAATGAATTGAAGCAATTTTTTAAAACCTTAATGTAGGCTACTACATAAAATGGATGTTTGATTGATGCTAAGCTCAGCACTGCTAAGCATTATTTGAAATAAAATTTCCGGCGTTTTTACACATCTGCTTAGCAACGAAGTTTTTACTTTTCATTTACACACAGCTAATTTTAATTAATTAAGATATAACTGGCAAAATGCATTTAAATTCCTCTTGTGATTTTCTTAATGAGCTCGGTAAACTACAAACTGCTAGTTATTAAATAAATTTATAAAATATGTATATGTATATGGTAAACGTAATATATGTATGTAAGTATATGTAAACGTCGGTTTTTTGTGCAAACGGTTGTAAAAATTTAATATAGTATTAATATGAAAAGAAATGAGAAAAACAAAGTAAAAACAGCTAACACAAATAAAAAAAAAAGCTTTTTTTAGTTGCTAATGGAAATATAATTATAAAATAAAGTCAATGTTTCATAAATAAAAATAAGTGGCTTTGTGTTTGTTGTATACTAAGTTTGCTATAAGTAGGAAGTATATATAAATGATCAGCACGATGAGCTGAGCCGATTTCAATATGTTCTCTGTTTGTATCTACGCGAATTAGTGCATAAGTTTTTGAAATCTCGATCTGAAATTTTCCTCACATGCTCTTTTCCCAAACAATTCTTCAAAACCCCAGATATCGGACCATTATTGCGACCTAGGATCTCCTTAGTCACAATGACCCACCTAGCCCCAGCATATTGATGCATTTTAATATACTGCTAGATGCGATGTGATTCCTATTTGGAAACATGCATCTAAGCGCCTTTGTCCTGCGTCTGCACGTTGCTATGTAGTCAATTAGCAGGTGTTCTGGAGTTGCATACAAACTAAAGGACCCTTTCTAAACTTTCTTGTATCGAAAACATGTTTATTTGACGCCCGGAGAACTAGGGACCCGACCAAATTGCACCCGATCTTCCACTCTCTACAACCCTCCCTTGGTCGTCGTAAGCACGATCCTTTAACGTCACTGGAAACTTAAATTTAAACTAAACTGTAAAAAAAACAAAAACCATTTGTTTTCAGTTTCTCGTCTTTTATTACCATTTCATTGCATAGTCTTCGTGCATTACTTTCTAAATTTATTTATTAGTTTAGCTTTTTGAAAATTATTATAACTTTTCGCTTTAAAACTAATATAATAAGATTGTCATAAAAAACAACAACTATAAATAATAAAACTATGTAAATTCATAAATTAACTATACAACAATAAATAAATGCAAAAATAGTATACAATTTTTGTACCTTACAAATGAAATACTCTTATATAGATTGCTTTAAAGTTTGGATTAACTTCCCGAAATTGCTTTGTGTGTGCAAACACTTTTTAATAAAAATAAACGGGTTTAGACGTGCGAGAGTAGGAGACATAAAAAATATTAATTCGAAAGTCGTTAGTTTTATTTGATTTGAAATAGATTATTAAAATTGACAAGCTTCGCTTTGTTCCTAAAACTAACTCGCTGAGAGAAACCTATTATATCTAATCATTTCTGAAATTACTGTTACTTTATGCTTAAATTTTACGCTACAATGATCTTTACTCAGATTGCTGCTGGTTATAATTTAAAACTTTCAACTGGTAAATAAGCTTTTGGTTTGCTCATATTTTTCTTTTGCTATTTTAAAAGGTCCTGCGTTCGTTGTAGCAACGTGGACTAATATACATAGTATTTATATATATACTAGAGGGTGTTTATAAGATTTTTAATTGAAGTAGTTTCACTTTGTAAACGCATCTAGGTACATACTTTCGTAATTTAACGTTTCAATAGTTTCATTGTAATATGTCGTCCGACCTAAATACGGGTACTTTAGTTAGTTTAATTGTAAGCTAAACCTAAGGAATTCACAAATAAAATCAAGCATTCCGCTAGTTATTAGGATCCACAATGAGCTATTCAAGAGTCTTCACGATTTCACTTCGACGCCAACTTATTGTTCAGCTTGTACGATAACACGCTCGTAGCGCATTTTGTCTGGTGTATCCCAACAACATTTTAGGCAAGTAAACACCAAAACATTGCCATATTCTATGGGTGCTGGTTCGCTGTTTTGCGCCAAACGCAACTTTGGTATGAGTGTAGACAGAATTTGTATCTCACATATAGTTTCGCCATTGCAATTGACGCACTTTGGTATTGGTTCGGATAGTGGACCCATCAAGAGAGGTAGTGTATCACGTGAGTACCTTAAAACGATGCAAAATATTAAAGAAAATATTAATTCACCACTAATAAGTTGAATACCTAATGATTTGTCCTGGGTTTTCCTGTATGACACTAACGAATTGATGGAAAATTATATCACCATGTGCTGGTAAAGCTTTCTCATAGGCTTCTTGATCATCACCGGCAGCAGCAACACCACCACCAATCGCGCCAGCGCCATTCGGAGAATGTGCCGCCTCGTCTTGCCGTTTATACTCCTGGTATAGTTCACGTATATGATCCGCTGATAGCGCGCCACAATAGTTTTCATATTCACCACGTTTATGGCGCTGCTCCATATCCACTGCGATAAAGAATGGTTTTATAGTGACATCCGAAATTTTGGCGAGTGGACCGAGCGCCGCAGGTGTTGCAGTATGTTTCAAAAGTGCAATCAAGTCACGTTCAGGCTTTATAGGTGTCTCCACCAATACTACATCCGTTTCAGCGCCCTCGATTTCAGCGCAGATGGTAGCGGTTGCGCCGCCAAATCCCATCATCGCACCGCCTTCCACAGCAGCTGCGGCTGCCGCATTGCCAGCCGCACAATTGGCATTGGGATCCTCAACAGCATTTTGTGGTGAWTGCATATCCAGCTGACCAAAGCCATAAACCAGTTCATTATCCATTGAGTTGCTCTCATCGTCGTCCTCATCCACATCAGCATCACTATTACCCGATTCGGTTACACGTGGTAAGTGCACAGCACGCGTGGGCGAGTTATCATTCTTGCCAACCACATTGCCGTTTTCCTCATTCTGATGTTGTAATTCATCAGCGCCTGTATCCATACGCTCGACACCACTGTCTGCCACTGTGCAACTCTCTTCCACTGTTTCACCCCAGTCATCTGCACCGCTGCACCATGCAATTTTTTGCGGTTGCATTGCATTTGCCGCATGCTTATAGTTCTTCTTTTTCTTCCCACCACCTCCACCGGCTGTTAGAGGTGGAGGCACTGCATTTATTAATTCTGCTTCAGTTGGTGTGTCCAAATGCTGCGTACGAATGCACAGCCAACTCTTACAATCTTGAGAACAAGCCGGATTCAAACATGCAAACACATATAAAGTGCGGTGAAATTTGGACTGCTCCAAGGGCGCATAAAGTTGTACGATCAATGGACGTGCTGTGCCACAGAGCGGACACGAAGGCACTTTTATCTCACCAGTGGGCCAATCCTATGTGAAGGAGATGAAAAGTATATAAGTATATTGGTAATAAAGAAAAATCAATTTCAATTAACTCTTCAATAGATGCGTCAGCATTGCGCATTATGTGGCATCACAGCGGAGCCTGCGGCGACAGAACGGAAGTCGCAATGCAAGTGACACAAATCTGTCACTTTATGCTCATGTTTTGTATTTAACAAACTTTTTTTTTTATATTAAGAACTGCGAAACCATATTAATGTAATACTCACAGGTGTTCCTCCGATTTTGTTCACCGTGCTATTTAATATGGATGCATGTTTGCTGGTAATTTCCTCATCCTCAAAGCCAAGGTAGACAGTACTTTTGTTTTTCGCCATCTTTTCACTTATCTCTAGTAGCTTGCGATATTAAACTTCACTTAAATTTATAACTGAGCCTTGTAAATGATATTGCATTAAGTCTCTGGATGTTTGAGGGTAAAGGATACGTGTTTAATTGGTAGGATTAATGATATTGAGTTGCTTGTTTTCAGTTTTTGCAGCAAATGCAGGCGAGAAAAACACGAGTGGATAAATCGACAATGTGATCCTAAAAGTATGCCAGTATTCAGTAGTATATTCGATATGTAAGTGCGTAATCTGGCAGTATTCACTGCACATTGTGATTATTCACTACTAGTAATCTATTAACATTATTTTAATAATTAAACAACTGTAATATACTTACTTATTAATAGCTTTACTTGCAATAATGAGAATTATTAACAATAGGATTTTTTAATTTTACTTCAAAATTAGTGTGATTTCTAAATTATTTTCCACACCAAATTATACTAAGCGGAATTGCAATCTCCCGTTACTCCCAGTGTAGTATTTTGTGCAATGAACGCAGGCATTGTCTGATAAATGACATTTCCAATTTGACAAATTTCTTATTGTGAGTGTGTATGTTGTGCACGTCAAAAAATTATCAGTTTATGCTTACACATCAAATGGCGGTCGCGTAAATAAATAACAATTTTAGAAAATTTAATGTGAGTAAAAGTTAACAAAACATACCGAAAAGTGTGTGGTAAACATTGAAGTACAGTTTCCCATTATACAATGTGCCCCACCATAAAATCATAAGCAAAAATAAGACATATCAAAGTGTGTTGCAGTAATATAAACACTTGTCTCGCTGGCCGACGCGAGACCCGCCCAGTTTCCAATCGATGATTTTTGCACTTGCAGTTGTTGCATACAATGAGCACAGCATCAATGCTTGCATCATCGCATTAATATTTTCATTTGCATTCTAAATTCGTTGCAGTGTAAATTACTTTGCAAAATGACGGAAAAGATCACATTGGCTGATGCGCTATCCAATGTGGAAGTACTCGACGAGCTGTCGCTGCCCGATGAGCAGCCCTGTATTGAGGCGCAACCGTGTTCGATTATCTATAAAGCCAATTTTGACACGAACTTTGAAGATCGCAATGGATTTGTAACGGGTATAGCGAAATATATTGAAGAAGCCACCACGCATGCTAATCTGGTGTGTATTATAAGCACATATAATTGGACTCAAAAATAAAACTTAATTCATTTATTTATAGAACGTTCTCCTTGAGGAGGGACAGAAACATGCTGTTATGCTTTATACTTGGCGCTGCTGCTCGCGTGCTATACCTCAACCGAAATCCAATGAGCAACCCAATCGTGTGGAAATTTATGAAAAGACGGTCGAGGTACTGGCACCGGAAGTAAACAAATTACTTAATTTCATGTACTTCCAAGTGAGTAAATAAGAAAAGTACTCACACTCTAATAATTAAATAATCCCTTAATATTTTACAGCGTAAAGCTATTGAAGCATTTTCAGGCGAGGTGAAACGTCTGTGTCATACAGAAAAGCGTAAGGATTTCGTATCAGAAGCTTATCTCTTAACATTGGGTAAATTTATCAACATGTTTGCTGTCTTGGACGAATTGAAAAATATGAAATCGAGTGTGAAAAATGACTACAGTACATATCGACGTGCGGCACAATTTCTCAAAGTGATGTCCGATTCACACACGCTGCAGGAGTCACAAAATTTGTCCATGTTTCTTGCCACGCAAAACAAAATACGAGATACCGTTAAAGACACACTCGAAAAAATTATTGGCTACGAAGATCTACTCTCGGATGTCGTTAACATTTGTGTGCACATGTTTGAAACCAAAATGTATTTGACGCCCGAAGAAAAACACATGCTCGTAAAAGTAATGGGCTTCGGACTCTTTCTCATGGATAGCGATGGTTGCAATATAAATAAATTGGATCAAAAGAAAAAAATACGCTTGGATCGCATAGATCGAATTTTCAAAAATCTGGAAGTTGTACCATTATTTGGTGATATGCAAATTGCACCCTTTAATTACATCAAACGTAGCAAACATTACGATTCGAGCAAATGGCCCTTGTCCAGTTCGAATGCAATTAGTCCACAAGCCGATTTGATGGTGCACTTGCCGCAAATACGTGAAGATCACGTTAAATACATCTCCGAATTGGCACGCTACACGAACGAAGTCACTACGACAGTGAAAGAAAATCCCACAGATGCCGAAAATCGTGCCACATCCGATTTAGCGCTGCGTGGACTGCAATTGCTCTCCGAGTGGACCAGTGTTGTAACGGAATTGTACTCTTGGAAGCTGTTGCATCCAACAGATCATCATCAGAATAAAGAATGCCCCGTAGAGGCTGAGGAATACGAACGTGCAACACGCTATAATTATACTTCGGAAGAGAAATTTGCGCTCATCGAAGTAATCGCAATGATCAAGGGCTTGCAGGTAGTCGCATATGGCATTCTTAATCCCCCATTGATATTCTAGCTAACACAATTTTTTCAAAAATTTCAGGTTCTGATGGCACGCATCGAGACGGTGCTATGTGAGGCGATACGTCGCAATATATACGCGGAATTGCAGGACTTTGTTCAGCTCACTCTGCGTGAACCACTGCGTAAGTCGGTGAAGAACAAGAAGGATTTGATACGCAGTATTATAATGTCAGTGCGTGAGACCGCTGCCGATTGGCAGAAAGGCCATGAGCCCTCGGACGACCCGGCTGCGAAGGGTAAGAAGGATCCGGATGGCGGTTTTCGCGTGCAAGTGCCACGCTTGAATGTCGGTCCATCATCGACGCAGTTGTACATGGTGCGTACTATGCTGGAGTCGCTAATCGCCGATAAAAGCGGTGGCAAACGTACGTTGCGTAAAGATATTGACGGCAATTGTCTCATGCAAATCGATACGTTTCACAAAACATCATTCTATTGGAGCTATCTGCTTAACTTCAGTGACACGCTACAAAAATGCTGCGATCTTTCACAATTGTGGTATCGTGAGTTCTACTTGGAAATGACCATGGGTCGTAAAGTGAACAAGTGCATGGTGAAGCATCAACACAATGAGGAATGCAAAGATCTAATCACTATGGAGAAGCGTATACAATTCCCGATTGAGATGTCTATGCCATGGATATTAACCGATCACATACTGCAAACGAAGGAGCCATCGATGATGGAGTGCGTATTGTTGTGCTAGAGGCGAGTAATCTATTTATTATATTACAATTTATTTGCAGATTCGTTCTATATCCATTGGATTTGTACAACGATTCGGCACATTATGCCTTAACCGTGTTTCGCAAGCAATTTCTGTATGACGAAGTAGAGGCCGAGGTTAATTTGTGCTTTGATCAATTCGTTTATAAGTTGAGCGAACAGATTTTCGCACACTACAAGCAATTAGCGGGCAGGTATGTGCACGGCGTAAGGAGGTTGAAAATATTATTGTAATTTTTTTTTAAATTTAATTCTAGTATCTTTCTGGACAAACGTTTTCGTTTGGAGTGCGAGGTGCTCGGTTTCAATTTCCATTCGTATCCACGTAATAACCGCTATGAAACGCTGCTGAAGCAACGGCATGTGCAATTATTAGGTGAGTAGACGGAGTATTGATACAACAGTGGTCAGATAAAGGTTATCAGCCTAAAATTTGGGTAAACTCATAGGTTGCCATGAATTTTTCTTATGACTAAAGCGGAAATCGTACAGCCAAACCGAATTTTCTAAGCAATAGGGAGTTTTTTTTCTAACGAAACACAAATAGTTGTAAATTTGGGATTAAAAAAATTAAATCCACTTACCAGTTTAAATAATAAAAGAATATTAATCCCAAGCATGTTGTGTAATTAATATTAAAAAAAAATTTTAGCAATCAAAATTTTATTAAAAAATATGATTTTAA